GGGCGCTACACCTACACCATTGCGGTGTGCGGACAACTGGCCCCCAGTTTCTATTTGCTTTCCCTCCTCCACCACCACCTGCCCGGTCATCCTGGCCTCCGCAGGAGCTGGTCGCACCCTGGGTGGTAGGCCTCTCGCGGGTAGCGCTGCTGGTCGGGCCGGCCTATCCAACAGCTTGCAGGGGCTCATCCTAGGCCCCTATTCTCCCCATCCTGCTCGATCCATCCCGATCCATCCCCGCCAGCCTGGGCTGTAGGCCTCCCACGGAGAGCGCTGCCAGGCGGGCTGGCCTACCCACCAGCCTGCAGGGGCTCTCCCTCTGTCACCATTCCCCCCATCCTGCTCGACCCATACCCTCCACCCTGGGAGGTAGGCCTCCCGCGGGCAGCGCTGCCGGGCGGCCCGGCCTACCCAACAGCCTGCAGGGGCTCTCCCGGCTCTACCTCACAAGGGAACCTTTTCAGGTGTAAATCTCCGATTTCGTTGGTACTCGGAAAATTTAAAGGTTATCATAATAGAAGTCGGATGGCACTTGAAATTTTTCCTAAACTTAACATTTACTAGGGGTTTACTTAAGCCTGACACTGTTTTTTGCTCCAAATATCCCTCTACCGCTTTAACGGTTCAAAATAGAGCATAAACTTAACATTTACTAGGGGTTTACTTAAGCCTGACACTGTTTTTTGCTCCAAATATCCCTCTACCGCTTTAACGGTTCAAAATAGAGCAAAACGGACAAAATTTTGGCCCAAAGGGCGCTACTTTGACGAGTTACCCCTTAGGACAGTGCTTTACATTTTTCAAAAAATATTTTTTTCTAACACCTTACTCCTACCTTATATAGGGGAAAACTGAATGTCAGGTTTAGGAAGAGTTTCAAGTGCTATCCGATTTCTACATAAATAACCTTCAAATTTTCCAAGTTTCAACGAAATCGGAGATTTACACCTGAAAAGGTTCCCTTGTCAGTCAGTACCGTCCCTTTGACCCGCCAGCCTGGGAGGTAGGCCTCCCGCGGGCAGCACTGCCAGGCGGGCTGGCCTACCCACCAGCCTGCAGGGGCTCTCCCTCTGCCCCCATTATGCTCGACCCATACCCTCCACCCTGGGAGGTAGGCCTCCCGCAGGCAGCGCTGCCGGGCAGGCCGGTCTACCCACCAGCCTGCAAGCGCTCTCCCGGCTCTCCCTCAGCCCCGCCCCTTTGGCCCGACACCCGACTCCGTTCCGCAGCTCACCTTGCGCTTCTTAGAGGCCTCGGACACGGTGTAGCCCATCTTGAGGTTGGCGGCCAGCATCATGACCTCCTGGACGCGCAGCAGCGGCCGGAGCGCGTCGTCCTGCTG